CCAGCGCGAATCCAAGAAATCCGCGCGGAGCGCCAAAAGTTTATGCTGATGTGGTTTTTTCTTCTTCTAATCAAGGGAGCGTGGATTAGTGACGGGTCCCGTTTCCATGGGGAAGCGCGGACTTCCGCCGCCGAACGAGGCGGACCGGGCGCGCATTTTGGGGGAGGGCGCTTCCCTCGATCCATGGATTTGGCAACCGCGCGCCAGATCCATGGATCGCTAGTCCATGCTTGCGCACCCCCGAACCAGGCAGATCGATCCGGCTCGAGCACTGGCGCAGAAAGATTCTGGGTCGATTATGGGAAAACGTGACCGGCCTGGAGTCTTCATGAAATATGCTCCCGCGGATTCCCGCGGATCTCCAATTTCCAAAAGTCTGCCAGCGAGTCTCCAAAAAAGTTCGCGCCTTAAAAAGCTTCTGGCGAATCTCTGGCAAAGCCTTCGCGCCTGAATAACATTCCGTCGACCCTCCCAAAAAGTCGCCCCGTAAAATCTCCGTGTGCCTGAGATTCCCCGCTGATTTCTGCACGCCGGAGTTGTTCTGAAGATTTGCCGGAGATGCTCTGGAGATTTCTGCAAGCCGGAGATGTTCCACAGATTTTCCAGAAAGATGTTCCGGAGATTCTTGCGCTGCCGAGATCTTCGGGAGATTCTCCGGGGCCGGAGATTTCCCAGAGATCCCCCCAGAGATTTTAGAGCTGTAGAGCCCCGAGATGTTCTGGAGATTCTTGGGAATGCCCAAATACAGTTCGGAGATCTCCCCAGGAAGGTCCCCCAGAGATGTTCCGCCCAGCGGGCCCCGGTCGCGCTTGTCATACTGACCCAAGGAGGAGGAGGAGGAGGAGGAGGAGGAGGAGGAGGAGGAGGAGGAGGAGGAGGAGGAGGGAGGAGGAGGAGGAGGAGGAGGAGGAGGAGGAGGAGGAGGAGAGAGGAGGAGAGGGGGGAGGAGGATGAGGAAGAGGAGGAGGAGGAGGAGGAGGAGGAGGAGGAGGAGGGGGAGCAGGAGGAGGAGGAGGAGGAGGAGGAGGAGGAGGATTTTCTGCGATGCTGCAACTCCTTCGCGGCGTCGGCCCGCAGGGCAGAAGCATGAGCCTCTGCTGAGCTGCCCCCCTCTCGTGCGGCCCGACCCTCCCCGGGGACGATGTTTCGACGATGTTTGACAAGTGCTGCATACTCCAGATTTCGCAATAAAAGGGAGAGGGTCTGGACCCTCCAAGACAAGCCATTTCAGACCTCCCCCGTGGGAGAACCCTCCAAAATATCGTCCCCAGACCCCCCAGGCCCTCCAAGATAGCCTGGAAGAGACCCCCCCCCCGAAATGAGACCCCCCTTCCCTTTATCACGATATCTGGAGTATGTTTTGAGCGTTTCCGACTTTCATCCAAAATCCGCCTGTGGGAGGACACGCCCGACCTGACCCTGGTGGCGGCCAGCTCGGGGGCCCCCACACGGTGTGGGGAGACCACACCGCGTGGCGCGGTGAGCCAGTGAGGATTGCGAAGGCCTTACGGCCGGTGCCGCCGACCCTGAATGGCGACGACGACGACGACGACGAGCGCTCTTGGGGGCCTCTTGGGGGTAGTTTGTGGGCCTCTTGGGAAGCTCTGAGGGGCCGCTTGCTCGGGCTCCCCCACACGGTGTGGAGAGACCACACCGCGTGGCGCGGCGAGCCAGTGAGGATACTCGGCGTCGCCGGACGGTCTTGAAGCTCGGGCCAATCTCCTCCGACCCCCGACGCCGTGCTTTGTGTCGCCGCGTCGACCCCCAGAGGTCTGGATAAAACGACGCGAAGATCGGGACAAAATCGGATCGGGATAACTCGAAATCTCTGAGAATCGGCGGGCTTGAAGGACGTATTGGGCGCCGCGGCCGCTCCAGAGCGTTCTGGAGCGCTCTGAGAGCGCTCCAGAACGCTCTGGAGCGATTTATCCCGATCCTAGTCCTGTTTTACGTGATTTGTGTCGCAGCGTCGACCCCCGGAGGTCTGGACCCCTTCCCCAGAACGGTTCTTCGTCCTGAGTCGTTTTTTGGCAGTCCGCAGGCCCGGTAAGTGCCCGCAGAGGCCGGAGACAGCGGAGAAAACCTCCGGTCACGTTTTTGTTCGCGGCGCGGGGGGGTCGGGGTCCGAGCGTGTCTCGGGCGATCGGGGCCTCCGAGGTCCCAAGTCCCTGCGGTGGCGGGCCGCGCGGTGAGGTCGTTGGTCAGGAGGGAGAAAAAACACACACAGACACAATGAATCGTCGATCCCCCCAAAAAGATGGGAAAATATGGGAAGTGGGGGGGAAGACAAACACCCAGAAAATATGGGGAAATGTGGGGAATAGTTTTATTTGTGTGTATGTATTTGTGTGCCCCTGGGCCCCTTCAGTTGGGGATGCCGAGGTCCCCGCGCGGTCCGTCGCCAAACGATTTTTAAGGGACCCCCGAGGGGAGGCGGCAAGCCTTCGCCGCTCTGCGCCACCCGCAGGGGTGTCCCCTTCTTCTGCGTCGAGATCGTCGAATACAGTCGGAGATACGTAAGACTCGAGTAAGGGATCCCCGAGGGGAGGCGGCAAGCCCTCGCCGCTCTGCGCCACCCGCAGGGGTGTCCCCTTCTTCTGCGTCGATATCGTCGAATACAGTCGGAGATACGTAAGACTCGAGTACGCCGGAACTCGGGTTTGCCGACGCTTGACGGTCAAGTGTCAAGTGTCAAGTGTCAAGGACGGGTATGCTGACGCTTGACGAGCGCGTGCTGGATTTTGACGGTCAAGTGTTCGTGGGATGTTTGCAGCGGAAGCTCGCGTCGAATTTCAGGCTGGGTCTCGTCATGTTCATGGTGGCCCCGTCAGGCCAACCCGAGTCCCCCGAACCCGAGTCCCACGTCTCCCCGATACAGACTCACTCGCACAGTCGGACAAAGGGTTACGGTTGAGGTTGTTTGACAGTTTTCGGCCTCTGCGAGGCCGTTGCCAGGCCTCGGGGCCGTCAACGAACAGCGCGGGATGAAAAGTTCTGCACGAACGAAATGGGCACGGAAAGAATTGGCACAATGCCCAACAGCAGTTCCTGCTCATTTTGGACAGGATTCGCTGTCCACGCCGCCGCGGCCTGTGTCCATTCGAGACAGAAGGCCGCCTGCCCAACAGCGGCCGCTGTTGGTTTGGGACAACATTTGCTGTTGGGCATCGTACCCACTCTTTCCGTGCCCATTTCGGGCGTCCAAAAGAGCCAGCCTCGGGGGAGGGGTCCCGATTTCCGGGGGTCGCTGTGGTGAAGAAGTCACGACACCAGAGTTCTGGGACGTGCGGAGATCGAGCGCCCGGGATTCGGGTGCCAGCTTCGGCGGCGCACAGGTGGCACGCCGTCCCGTTCCCTCCCCCCGGCCCTCCCAGCATAGACGCAAGTCTCAACATTCAGGAGGGGAAAAAACACAGACACAATTAATCGACGACTCCCAGGAAAATATGGGAAAATATGGGAAGTGGGGGGAAGACAGAAACCCAGAAAATATGGGAAAATATGGGAAATATGTTTCTTTGTGTATTTATTTGTATGTCCTGGGGCCCCTTCAAACATGGACAACGGCCGCCATCGGGAACCAGTGCAGACGCCAGCCAGACGCGCGACGTCCGCGCGGTGCGCCGCCGTGCCAGGGCACCCCCATCATTCCTGTCAGAGAAGCATGCAACATAATCGCGGGGCGCCCGCGCTCCTGGTCCAAGATTTTGCCGCAGCGTGCACGTTGCATTTGACCTGTTGACAGGGGTGGTGGGCCTGCACACACTAGGCAGTATGATGGCACCCCCGCCGCCCATGTCGAAACGCAATGTAAAGTGATCGCGGGGCGTTCGAAAATGATACAGGTTGCCGCAAAGTGAAATTAACGTTAATTAGTTTCGACACGGACGGTGGTGGAGGGGCGGCATTGGCACTGGTTAGGGGCAGTAGCGTGGGGGAGAGGGTGTAGATTAGGAAGGAGCCGTGATGCACCGCTCCCCAGAGGGGAAGACTGGGTCGGAATCAGAAAGGATTTAAACTACCTCCGTCCAGAGGGTTGGCAGTAAGTAATCAAATGCAAGCCGAATTCGCAAATTGAAATGACAACATGGATACCGATGAAATTGCAAGTCGAAATGTTTCTCGACGTGCAAAGTGGATACACATCCGATTGCAATCGACATGCAAATCGGTTGAAAATCTAAATTCAACCAAAGGTTCAACCAGAAAACAATTCGCATCGATAATGCATGCACGTGTCAGTGGAATTGCAATCAACATGTAAGTAGACATGCAAAAGCACATGCAATTCTCAACGCAGTAAGCGAAAATCAAAACGCCGATTAGCCCCCCACCCCTCACATACACACACACACACACTCGCACACACACACACACACACACACACACACACACACACACACACACACACACACGCGCACGCGCACACGCGCACGCGCACGCGCACACGCACGCGCACACGCACACGCGCACACGCACACGCACACGCACACGCACACGCACACACACACACACACACACACACACACACACACACACACGCGCGCGCACACGCACGCACGCACGCACGCACGCACGCACGCACACGCACACGCACACTAAATTCCCTTTATCACCCGAAGGACGGTCTGCGAGGTAGAAGCTGTAGCACGCAGCAGGACAGCAAGCCAACCAAAAAGCCCACCGACCACGCGGCGTCACCTCGGTGCGGCAGGCTCGCGTGGCGTCGCCGCGGCGGCGACCCCAGCGTCGGGCCTGGTGGCCGGGACTCGGCCGATGTCGGGCGGTCTGCGTTGCCAGACAGCCGCGATCGTTCTCCTCCTCCTCCTCCTCCTCCTCCTCCTCCTCCTCGTTTTCCTCCTCCTCGTTCTCCTCCTGCTCCTCCTCCTCCTCCTCCTCCTCCTCCTCCTCTTCCTGCTCCTCCGTTCAGGGTTGGACGGTTCACGCGGTGCCAGAGAGCAACGACAATGTCGTCCCTGCACAGACTTGCCGCTCGCCGTAGCTAGCCATGTTGTCTCAGACAGTTGAACCAAGCAGCGCTGCCTGCCAGGTTCCAAGCGCAGCGGGCAATGGACTCGTGCCCCGCAGCATCCCGCCAGCGCGCGGGTCGGATTGCACGTCACGTTGCGGCGTGTGGGCCACGCCCTTGCACTGGCCCGACTAAAAAGATTTTGTGGCCTGAGGGTTGCATAGGAGAAAATGGCCAGCGCATTGCAGACAGCGGTGAGAAGCTGGGCGGGAAGGGGCTAGCCTTCAAGCGCACGCCCCTGCGCGTCGCGTTCGCAGACCCAGGCGCTGCGCACGACCGCTACGGAGGCTCGGACGCGCACGTAGTTCTGGAGGGCGAGCTTCTGCAACCAGCGGGAAGCTCGGCGGAGTCAGGAAGCACCGTGCTGATGTTCATGCATCCGGGCGGCGTGTTGAGCTCACTCCCCATTGTAAGCGGGCTCGCCAGGGCGGGGCTCCATGTGTGCGCTATGGCGAGCCGCTATGGCAACAACGACTCGACGCTCATCGTCGAGAAGGCGTGCGTGGACCTGGGCGCTGTCATCAGGCACCTGAAGACGAAGCTTTCTTACACCACGGTGGTGCTCGTGGGCTGGAGCGGCGGGGGTGGCCTTGTCACACTTTACCAGAGCTTGGCGGAGCACCCCCAGGAGGATCTTAGAACTCCAGCAGGCGATGCCGTGGCATTGCAGAACCTGCTGCCTGCTGATGGTGTCGCGCTCCTCGCGGCGCACGCGGGCCGCGCTCGCATTCTAAGCGAATGGATCGACCCTGCTGTCCTCAACGAGACAGACCCAGACGCACCTCGTGATAGCAGCATTGACATCTATGGTCCCGCCGCACCCAGTCCGCCCTTCTCAAACGAATTCATTGCCAGGTACCGGTCCGCGCAACAGGCAAGGGTCCGACGAATCACCGCTTGGGTGACGGAGCGCTTGAGGCAGTTGCAGAGCGAACAGCCAGAATCTGTCGGCGATTGGCGCAGAGGGAGGCGCGATGTCACTTTCATGGTGCCGTGCACGCAGGCAGACATCTCGAGGCTCGATGCGACGCTCGACCCAAGCGATCGCATCCCAGAAGCATTGGACGCGCTTGCAGAGGAGAACCACTCGCCCGTCGGGCTGGCACGGTTCACCACGCTGCGCTCGTGGTTGTCGCAGTGGAGCTTAGACCACTCCAGGGCAAACGCAGTAGCTGCTTTGCGCAAAATCTCTGCGCCTGTGCTTGTGCTGGCAAACGGGGCAGATCATTTGGTGCCTCCAGCTCATGCCCGAGACATGTTCGACGCCATCCCACACGCGAGGAAGCAGCTTCACATTGTAAAGGGAGCGTCGCATTACTACCTTGGGCAGCGGGCGGAGCTTCGAGAGGCCGTCTCCGTCTGCTGCTCCTGGCTGCTGGCAGAGGGCCTCCTGCCGGAGGCGGGCAGGCGAATGCGCGAGTCCGCTTCAGAAAAGCTGGTGCCAGCACCTCTGACACTGGAGGAGCTTCGGCCTCTCACCAGCGGGCAGCTGACGACGCGGCTGGAGCTCAGGGGCATCAACCACCTGGCCCTGGTCTCGTCGGACATGAGCCGGACGACGCGGTTCGTCTGCGAGCAGCTCGGCATGCCCCTCGTGAAGACGATCGAGCTTGCGGGCGGTGCTGGGCAGCACTTCTTCTTCGATGCGGGGAACGGCTGCTGCCTCGCTTACTTCTGGTGGCCGAACGCGCCACCCCCGGCCCCAGGCATCGCAGCCCCGGTCGACAGCTCCAGGACTCGAAGATGCACAACAATGGCATGCGCTTGGCTGCCCTGCTACGCCCGTGCTCAAAACGCAGCACGCACCGTGCGCAGAGCGCACGTGCTAGCACGCTGCATGTTGGCTCGGCATGTTGGCCCAACGTTTGGGCGAGCGGGTCGCGCCAAGCGTACGCCGTCAGTCTGCGCGTTGGGCTCCGCGTCCACACGCTACGTGTTGCGTGTTGCGCCTCGGGGCGGCTAAGATTAAGTCTTGCTTGTCCCTCTACAGGAGGGATATTCACACATTAGTTGGGGAGCACTGTTCGACTTGTTTGGGGCTATGTTTGGGTAATTGTTGACTATGTATTATTTTTGTCCACATCCCGCCTGCAGGGGGACATGCCCGACCTGAGGCTAAGAACACGCACGTTCGGAGGCCCGTCGCGGAGATTTCTTGGATCGGCGCTGGGCACCCCTCTCGGGCGGGCGGGGCGCGCCAGAGGCGCCGCCAGGGGCTTGGCATCGCTCTGACGTGTGTGTGCGTTGTGTGTGTGTTGTGTGTGGTGTGTGTTGTGTGTTGTGTGTTGTATGTGTTGTTTGTGTTGTGTGCTGTGTGTGTGTTGTGTGTTATGCGTGCGTGCGTGCGTACGTGCGTGCGTGCGTGCGTGGGCGCGTGCGTGCGTGCGTGCGTGCATGCGTGCGTGTGTGCGTGTGTGTGTGCGTGTGTGTGTGTGTGTGGTGTGTGTGGTCTGTAGTGTGTGTGTGTGTGTGTGGTGTAGTGTGTGTTGTGTGTTGTGTGTTCTATGTTGTGTGTGGTGTGTGTTGTGTGTGGTGTGGTGTGTGTGTGTTCTGTGTGTTGTGTGTGGTGTGCGTTGTGTGTGTGTGTTGTGTGTGGAGTGTGTGTGTGTGTGTGTTGTGTGTTGTGTGTGATGTGTGTGGTGTGTGTGTGTGTGTTGTGTGTGGTGTGCGTGTTGTGCTTGTTGTGTGTTGTGTGTGTTGTGTGGTGTGTGTTGTGTATGTTGTGTGTGCTGTGTGTTGTATGTGGTGTTGGTGGTGTGTGTTGTTGTGTGTGTATTGTGTGGGGTATGTGTTGTGTGGTGTGCGTGTTGTGTGTAGTATGTTTGGTGTGTGTGGTGTGCCTTGTGTGTGGAGTTGTGTTGTGTGGTGTGTGGTGTGTGTGGTGTGTGTTGTGTGTTGTGGATATTGTTTGCTGTGTGTTGTGTGTGTTGTGTGTGTTGTGTGTGCGTTGTGTGTTGTGTGGTGTGTGTGTGTGTTGTGTGCGGTGTGCGTTGTATGTGTTTTGCGTGTTGTGTGTGTGCTGTGTGTTTTGTGTGTTGTGTGTGCTGAATGTGCTGTGTGTGCTGTGTATGCGGTGTGCCGTGTGTGTGTGTGCTGTGTGCGCCGCGTGATGTGTGGTGTGTGTGTTGTGTTGTTGTGTGTGTTGTGTGTTGTGTGTTTTGTGTGTTGTGCGCGCGTGCGTGCGTGCGTCCTTGTGATTGTGTGTGCGCTGCCGTGTGTGCGGTGTGCGTGTGTGCGTGAGTGCCTGTGTGTGTGAGTGTGTGTGGTGTGTGTGTTGTGTGTATTGTGTGTGCGTGCGTGCGTGCGTGTGTGCGTGTGTGTGTGTTGTGTGTGTGTGGTGCGTGGGGTGTGTGTTGTGTGTTGTGTGTTGTGTGTTGTGATGTGTGTTGTGTGTGCTGTTTGTGTTGTGTGTCGTGTGCTGTGTGTGTTGAGTGTTGCTTGTTGTGTGTTGTGTGTTGTGTGTTGTCTTTGTTGTGTGTTGTGTGTGTTGTGTGTTGTGTGTGTTGTGTGTTGTGTGTTGCGTGTGTGTTGCGTGTGTTTTGTGTTGTGTGTTGTGTGCGTTGTGTGCGCTGTGTGGTATGCGTTGTGTGTGTTGTGTGTGGTCTGTGTTGTGTGTTGTGTATGGTGTGTGTTGTGTGGTGTGTGTTGTGTTGTATGTGGTGTGTGTGTTGTGTGTTGTGTGTTGTGTGGTGTAAAGTATGTGTTGTGTGTTGTGTGTTGTGTCTGATGTGTGTGTGTTGTGTTTGTGTGCGTGTGTGCGTGTGTGCTGTGTATGCTGTGTGTGCTGTGTGTGTTGAGTGTTGTGTGTTGTGTGTGTTGTGTGTTGTGTGTTGTGTGTGCGTGTTGTGTGATGTGTGCGTGTTGTGCGTTCTGTGTTGTGTGTTTGTGTGTGTTGTGCGTGCGTGCGTGCGTGCATGCGTGCGCGTGTGTGCGCGTGCGTGTGTGCGTGTCTGCGTGAGTGCGTGTGTGCTGTGTGTGCGTGTGTGCGTGTTTGTGTGAGTGTGTGAGTGTGTGTGAGTGTGTGTGCGTGCGTGCGTGCGTGTGTGTGCGTGGTTTTTTCCGTCAGGGACCATCGAGGAGCATCCTGGATCATCGGGGGTGGACAGAACCCCCAACCTGACACGTTGATTAGTGAATCACCCGTTTTCGCTTCTCGAGAGAGCGCCGCGGCCGTCATTTTCCAGGCTTGCGCCCGCCAGGTTTGGGCTCGAGGTCGCTTTCACTAAACCACGTTTTACTAAAGGGAGTCCTGTCAATCCCCGAAATGAAGCGCACGAAACCGAAAAATGTACGGGGAGTGGACGTCCGGGCGACGGCAGGGGGGCTGGTCCAGCTCCGATCCAAGAGGTCCGCGCGCGCGATCCCAGAGACCCGCGCGGACCTCCGAGAGTTTATGCTTGTGCCGTTCCCCTTGCTTTAAGTCGGGCATGTCCCTCTGCAGGAGATATACATATGTATATATATATGTGTATGGGAACGACTTTTTAGTATGTTTGAATATGTTTGAACATGTGTGTTGAGTAATTCCTTACCTACGCTCTGCCTAGAAGGGTTCTTACTCTCTAGCTTAAAGGGGCTGGGCAGTGGAAAGCGCCCCGGGCGGTTCCCCCAGTCCCCTGGGAGCGGTTCCCCCAGTCCCTTGGGAGCTTTAGCTTTAGCTTTAGCTTAGCTTTAGCTTAGCTTTAGTTTAGATTTAGCTTTAGCTTAGCTTTAGCTTAGCTGTAGCTTAGCTTTAGCTTAGCTGTTGCTCAGATTTAGCTTAGCTTTAGCTTAGCTTTAGCTTAGCTTTAGCTTAGCTTTAGCTTAGCTTTAGCTTAGATTTAGCTTAACTTTAGCTTAGCTGTGGCTTAGCTTTAGCTTAGCTTTAACTTAGCTTTAGCTTAGCTTTAGCTTAGCGTTACTGTTACTACTAATGCTGCTTTCCTAGGGGTTCCAACTCCTAGGTAGGGTCGCACTGGGATAATTCTTATTTGTCATCCAAAATCCCCCTGTAGGAGGACATGCCCGACCCAACTCTTGCTCTTCTTGTCCTTCCAAGGATGGCCTCCGAGGAGGACACGCACACCGCGGTGGGCTCCATGAACCACGTCGCTTGGGCCGTGCCGCCCGGGCGCCTGGCCGGGTACCGCAAGACGCTCCGGAGCCGCGGCGTGCAGTGCTCGCCGATCCTGCACCATGCCGACGTGCCGGAGGGCTACGTGGCGAAGCCCGGGGGGAGCACCACCTTCAGCAGCTTCTACTTCAGGGGCCCGGACGGCGAGTTCTTCGAGTTGACCGAGCAGCACCGGGGCTTCGGGCCCGGAGACGTGGCCCACGAGCCCAAGACGCGGGCGGATGCCGAGGGGCCTTGACGTCGAAAAGGCCCACGGCATCCAGCTACGGTGCGGTGTAACAAGCCCACACACGTCATTCGAGTATCAGTGCGCCCACGCATGCCTACCGTGCCGTCGGGTCCGATTCGTCGGGCGGCCCTGCAAGATCAAGGGTACCCTTGTGTCTTGGGTATCGCGCTTCTCGTCCTCTCCATGTCCGGGAGCATGCACTGGCCCCAGCTGGGATTCGCATCCTCTCGGGTGTCCCGCGCAGTCGGTCCCGTCCGTGCGATCATCCTCCTCTTGGGCCGCGTCGGAGGCCTCTTGGGGTCATCTTGGCGGCCTGGGTTGCCGGCCTCGGCCGTCCTGGAAGCTCGGGGGCGCGGAGCCACAGTTGTTTGCAAGGGAGCGTGGCCTCGGGAGCGCGGTTCCATCGCTTCGTCGCTTCATTCGTTTTTTTGTTTACGAAGGGTCGTGGCCTCGAGAGCGCAGGCCCACCGCTTCTTACGTGTGACCAGGGGGGAGGCCTCGGAAGAGTACACAGACCCTACCGTACAACCCTTGGCATCCGTCCAGCCTGGGCACTGGCGGATCACATAGCACAGCACGCCATGACATACCAAAGAGGACAACCCCATGGCCCAGCACAGCGTGGCGCAGCGTTGCATCGCACGGCCGCGGGGCAAGACACGGCAAGACAGGACAGAACAAGACAGGACGCCCACCAAGCGACCCGAGCGACCACCGAGCGACCCCCGGGCGACCAGGGCCGACGCAGCAATGGCCACCAGCCCTCTATCCCTAAGGTGAAATCTCACTGGGAACGTCTCCGTAGAGGACAGATCTCACGCGCCACCTTCCCCCTCCAAGAGGCCCCCGGACTGCTTCGAGAGGGCTCGAATTGGCTTCGGAGCCTCCCGGGGATGCCCCCGGAGAGGCCAACAGCCCATCAAAGAACTACAGATGTGTTTTCAAAGATGTTTGTGCTCTCGCCTCTTCGCTCCCGACGTGTTCCCCGATGCCCTTGGAGGAGGAGGAGGAGGAGGAGGAGGAGGAGGAGAAGGAGGAGGAGGAGGAGGAGGAGAAGAAAAGGAGGAGGAGGAGAAGGAGGAGGAGGAAAACAAGGAGGAGGAGAAAAAGGAGGACGGAGGAGGAGGAGGGAGGAGGGTCCGAGGTTTTTGAGGGGAGGAAGAGGAGGAGGAGGCGAGGAGAAGGAGGGGAGGAGGGAGGAGGAGGAGGAGGAGAGGAGGAGGAGGAGGAGGAGAAGAAACACGAGGAGGAGGGGGACGAAGAGGAGGAGGAGGAGGAGGAGGACAAGGAGGAGGAGTTGGAAGAGGAGAAGGAGAAAAAGGAGGAGGAGGAGATGGAGGAGGACGAGGACGACGACGAGGACGAGGAGGAAGACGAGGAGGAGGAGGAGGAGGTCGAGGTTCGAGAGGGAGTGTCGAGGTTCGAGGGGGAAAGGGAGGCCCTGCCCCCTCGGGTCGCCTCCGCCGCAGGAGGCAGCGCCGCGCAGAGGGCCCCAGAGGGCGCCGGCCGCCGCCAGCGCGCGCTCCGCCCTCGAGCAGCTGCGGCGCTTCGCGACGGCCGCGGAGCGCTCGACGACGACGACGACGACGACGACGACGACGACGACGACGACGACGACGCCGACGACGACGACGACGACGACGACGACGGCGACGACGACGGCGACGACGACGACGACGACGACGACGGTCGGCAACAACGACGCCGACGACGACGATGACGACGACGACGACGCTCCGCGCCCGCGCCGAAGCCTCGGCGGCCCGGGCCTCGCCGGGACTTGCGGCGGGGCCCCAGGGGAGGGCCCCGGCAACGCCGGCGCGGGTGGGCAGAGCTGTTGTCCACCAGCCCTCGAAGGCATCGGCGGCGCGCCTCGTCGTCCTCCTCCTCCTCTTCCTCCTCCTCCTCCTCCTCTTCCTCCCTCCTCCTCCTCCTCCTCCTCTGTCTCTCCTCCTCCTTCTCCCGTCCTCAACTGCTTTTTCCTCCTCCTCCTCCTCCGCCTCCTCCTCCTCCTCCCTCTCGCTCCGTCTGTTTTCTTTCTCCTTCGCTCTCATCCGATCTCTCCTCCTCCCTCTTTCTTCCTCCCTCTCTCCTCGTCCTCCTCCTCCTCCTGCTCCTCTACTCCTTCTCCTCCTCCTCCTCCTCCTCCCTCCTCCTCCTCCTCCTCTCCCCCTGCTCCTCCTCCTCCTCCTCGCTCCTCCTCCTCCTCCTCCTCCTCCTCCTCTTCCTCCTCCTCCTCCTCTTCCTCCTCCTCCTCCTCCTCCTTCTCCTCCTCTCCCCCTCCTCCTCTTCCTCCTCCTCCTCCTCCTCTTCCTCCTCTTTTTCTTCCTCCTCCTCCTCCCTCCTCCTGCTCTCCTCCTCCTTCTCCTCCTGCTCCTCCTCCTCCTTCTTGTCCTCCTCCCCCTCTTCCGCCGCCTCCTCCTCCTCCTCCTCCTCTTCCTCCTCCTCCTCCTCCTCCTCCTCCTCCCCCTCCTCCTCTTCCTCCTCCTCCTGCTCGCAAAGTGCCTGCCTACTCGCCAACGTCCTGAAGAAAAACATGTCCGCCTCGACGTAATGGGTCGTGAGGCCTCCTCGGTGGAGCCAGGCCATTTGCGTGCAGCTGCTTTGCAAGTAGTGGAACTCGCTCGTCTGGAGAGGGGAAGTTTTCGAACGTTGTCGGACGTCTTCGGCAGTTGACTGAAGTTCCCGACTGTTTTCGAGACCCGGGGTGGTTTCCGTCAGCTGCGCCTCGGCGCGGGCGTTGCAGGGCTGCTGGGATCGTCCCGAAGGGCCGCCGGCGAGCCGAGCTGCGGCCCAGAAGCCGGACATCTGGCGTCTCTGGCCGTCGGGGCAGAGGTGTTTCACATCGCTTGCGGCCTCTCGGGGCCCCTGGCCGGGCCTCGGGACCGTCAAGGAATGGCTCGCGATGGTGCACCGGTCCTGGGGAGGTGGTCGAGAAGGCGGGGGCCCGTGTCTCGAAAGACTCGGCACGCCGGGTGTCTGGGATGAGAGGGGGCAGGCCCGTCTCAGAAGGTGGGCGGGGCCTCTCGAGAGCCTTCTGAGCCTTTCGTGAAGGCTCGAACCCTCATCTTTCCCCCCAGGGCGCGCCGCCGAAATGATTAATACATGCGTCAGCACAAACCTTCGGAGCTCCCAAAATTTGAGCTTGCGCGGCTGCTTTTTATTATTATCATAACTGTTGTTGTGTTAAGTGTTCGTATTACTCTTCTTCTTGATAGTATTATTATTCATCCTAGTATTATTCTGATGTGATTTATGAGTATTATTAGTAGTATTATTATTAGTAGTAGTAGTAGCAGTAGTAGTAGTAGTAGTAGTAGTAGTAGTAGTAGTAGTAGTAGTAGTAGTAGCAGTAGTAGTAGTAGTAGCAGTTTCTAGTAGTAGTAGCAGTTTCTAGTAGTAGTAGTAGTAGTAGTAGTAGTAGTAGTAAGAGTAAGAGTAAGAGTAAGAGTAAGAGTAAGAGTAAGAGTAAGAGTAAGAGTAAGAGTAAGAGTAAGAGTAAGAGTAAGAGTAAGAGTAAGAGTAAGAGTAAGAGTAAGAGTAGTAGCTGTAGTAGTAGTGGTAGTAGTAGTAGTAGCAGTAGTAGTAGTAGTAGTAGGAGCAGGAGTAGGAGTAGTAGTAGTAGTAGCACAGCAGCAGTAGCGGTAGTAGTAGTAGTAAGTTTTAGTAGTAGTAATAAGATAAGGTAGAGTATTAAGTAATATAGTAGTAGTAGTAAGTAGTCGTAGTAGTAGTAAGTCAAGTAGTAGTAGTAATACTAGTACTACTACTAGTACTATCACTAAGTACTAGTACTAGTACTAGTACTAGTACTAGTACTCTAGTAGTAGTAGTAGTCTGTCCATAGTAGTAGTGTAGTAGCAGCAGTAGTAGCAGTAGTGAGTAGTAGTGAAGTGTCGCATCAGCACAGTAGTAGTATATTAGTAGTAAGTGTAGTAGTAGTAGTCGTAGTAGTAGTCGTAGTAGTGAGTAGTAGAGTAAGGATCAAGCAAGCCAGCTCGAGCGAGTCAAGCATGGCATGCCCAGCCCCACCCGCCCTCCCACAACATAAGAAGCAAAGCTGGCACAACTGGGGGCCGAAGTCACACCGGCCAGCCGGTTTGGGACAGCTGATGCGGCCGCGATGGCGGTTGCCGACGGGAACTGGCGAGCGCGTGTTGAATGCCGCGCACGCATTGCCAGACGAGTCGAGAATGGCCCGGTACACCGCAGGAAGCCTGAAGGCCCCAACTTGTACTGTTTTTTTATAAAGGGGGGGTTTGGATGGGCGGGCGCGGGGTGTGCGCCGCATCCCATTCCTGCCAAGCATTTTGCGACGTGGACGACAGGACGTCCATGCTGAGAGGAAAAACGTTGGTGCGCGGCGCCGAGGCGAGAGCGACATGTCACCCCTTCGCGCGGGGTGTGCGCCGCGTCCCATTCCTGCCACGCATTTTGCGACGTGACGACAGCACGACCATGTTGACAAGAAAAACAAAAACTGTGTATTGTCTTTTGCAGATTAGAATGGGACGGATTGGATGGGCGGGCGCGGGGTGTGCGCCGCGTCCCATTCCTGCCATGCATTTTGCGACGTGGACGACAGGACGTCCATGCGACGGTGCCAATGACGGCGACGACTCTAGAAGGATTTGAGCATGCGCTCGCGGCGACGCGCGCGCATGTCGCCCGCGTGGTATTTTTTTGCACAGGATTCGCGGCCTGGGTGCATGACAGAGCATCGCGAGTGCACCGCGCGATGACGTGAAATCGCTGGATTTGACCGAATTCTTAAGATTCCTATGGTTTTCCTATGATTTCAGCAAGAGAGCCCGGGCTAGGAAATTTGTAAGATTTTTGTGAAAAAAGCATTGGGTTTTTGATGTTTTTATGTTGAAATGCTTGCAAACACACGGTGTTCGGTAGGATTCTGACATGAACGCGCGCGTGTGCTCTTTGTGGTATTTTTTGCAATGGATTATCGCCGTGGACGACAGGACGTCCATGTCGAGAGGAAAAAATAAGAAAAATGTTGATTTTGTATTGTTTTTTTACAGGTTAGGATGGGACCACCCGGATGCGGCCCCTATCGGCCGGCCTGAGGGGGGAGTAGGAGTATATTCTAATAAGGAATAAGGATAAGAGTAGTAGTAGGTGTAGTAGTAGTAGTAGTAGTAGTAGTAGTAGTAGTAGTAGTAGTAGTAGTAGTAGTAGTAGTAGTAGTAGTAGTAGTAGTAGTAGTAGTAGTAGTAGAAGTAGTATCAGTATCAGTATCAGTATGCTCCTCTTTCTTATTATTAATGATATTATTTTCTGCCCCCCCCCTCTCCCCTGGCTCCTCTCTCCTCGCCCCGCTCGCGGCTCTGACCCAGCCGCGCGGGGGGTGGGGCGCGCGTAGCAGCGGCGAATGCCAATGTTCTGGCGCAGCCGCGCGGAGAAGCTGAACGACGAGCAGGAGGGCGTCGCCCCACCGGAAGGGCTGGAGGAGGAGAAGGCGGAGGGCAAGGAGGAGGGGCAATGTCAGGGGCGACCTGTCGGCGACGTATCGCCTATTCCAGCTCGATGGTTCACCCCCCCCGAGCTAGTCGCCCCCTGACGTCCCCCCTCAAAGGAGGAGGAGGAGGAGGAGGAAGGGGAGGAGGAGGAGGAGGCGGAGGAGGAGGAGGATGGGGAGGAGAAGGAGGAGGAGGAAGAGGAGGAGGGGGATGGCATGGAGGAGGGGCAATGTCAGGGTGGGATACGGTCGGGATGTTTGGCTCAGCGTGTCGTTCTGCCGGTTCTGGCCCACCGCGCTTCGGCGCGACACGCTGTCCACGTCCCCATTCCCAAGCGTCAACGGCCCGAGCTGTTCGCAGCCTGCCGCCCCGCGGAGCCAAGCGACACGCCATCCTGTTCCAAGGCCGCTTGCCAAGGCCGCCAAGGCCGCTGCCACGACACGCTAAGCAAAAGCGGTTGACCTTACGCTCCGAGGTTTTCCGACGTCTTCGGATGCGTTCGACTGAAGTTTTCGAACGCGCTCGAGACCCGGGGTGGTGTCCATAAGCTGCGCCCCGTCGACAGCGTTCTGGAGATGCCCGGTGGGGGGGAAGACAGAAACCCAGAAAATATCGGAAAATATGGGGAATCATTTTATTTGTGTGTATTTACTTGTGTGTCCCAGGGCCCCTTCAAAAATGCAACATCGTAATGAATCGTGCGCGGAGCCCCGGACTTAAGTCGGGCCTGTCCCTCTACAGGAGGAATGTTCAAAATTAGTCTAAAAGATTGCCTGGGGACGATTCTGTTTTGCGATCCTTG